CTTGAGCCCTTGAGCCCTTGAGCCCTTGAGCCCTTCGTCTTGGCTCTATAACAGAAAAAAAACCCAGAAACACAAAGAGAATGGACAGGTTTCAATCCTCTGTTATTAAATCAAGAAAACAGAATCAGATCTTCCTTCATACAACTGTTTTATTTTTCTTTTGTTTTTAGTGGGTTATTATTTATGGGTCCTAGCATGTGTGTGTGTGTGTGTGTGTGTGTGTGTGTGTGTGTGTGTGTGTGTGTGTGTGTGTGTGTGAAGACCCTTTGCTAATTTAGGGAACATGGCGCACGTCGTAAGGTGTTTAGGCAAAAGAGCAGTAAAGGATAATAGGTGAAATGAAGAGAAGAGATAGGAGAGGATGAATGACAAGAGTAACGAATGAAAGATGGAGAAGAGGGGAGACAAGATGAAAAAGAGGGAGAGGAAGATAAGAAGGAGAAAGGGTAAAACAGGAATAAAGATGATAAGGAAAAGAAGGAGAATGTGAAGACATAGAGGAAGAAGTAGACAAAGAAGAGGAAATATAGAAGTAAAAGAGGGACAAAATAAAGAAGTAATGAAAACAAACAGAAGGAGAAGGAGAAAAAGGAAGAGAGACAAAATATTCTCCTCTCATCAATTCCTAAAGCGGGGCCCCCCCACCTACTTCTTTCCACCCACCTCCACACCCACCAACCCACCCAACCCACCCACCTAACCCACCCAGCCAGCCACACCCTGGAACACCTCACCTCACCTCTTGTATATTTCATCGACACATTCAATAAAAGTGTGATTTATATAGCCTTCCAAGTCCTTTCTTTATCCATGGCGTGTTGGCTGACCATAACCAGACCTCCGTTTTGCTTACATTAGTCGAGTTATATTTATGAAGAGATAACGAGGTCTCTAAGGCCAATGGTGGGTAATGCTCGTATTGAAAACGTATTTATGCCATGGGGAGGTATTGAGCGGGTGTTTGCAGGGCCATCACCGTAACGGGGCAGGTGAAAGAGGCTGCAAATAGGACGGGTTGGAGGTGTAGGGGGGGGGGGGTTAAGGTAAGAGGGAGGAAGGGGGTGACGGCAGGAGGGTGGTTGATGACGTAATGTTGTGGTGGGTGTCCTTGGTTCTCTGTCTGTCTGTCTGTGGGAGGTGGAGGAGGTGATGGCGTTATGTTGCGGTGGCTGTCTTGGTCTCTATGTCTGTCTATGTCTGACTCTATCTTCATAGTTGTCTCTGTCTGTCTGTCTGTTTGTCTGTCAATACGGCCCATTGAAAAGGTCAGGAGAAGGTCATAAACATATAATCTTATGTTGTGGTGCTTAGATTGTCTGTCTCTTTGTGCGTATGAAGCTATAAAAAGGACAAGCGTTGTAAACAGGAGAGATATTGATGTGTTGTGGTGTCTTTCTGTCTGTCTGTCTGTCTGTAGGTCTCTCTATCTACAAGAAAGACAAATTTTGGTGTTAACATAATACTGTGTTGTGACTTCGGAAATCACTCTCACTCTCTCTCTCTCTCTCTCTCTGTCTCTCTCTAGTCATTTTAAACTAATGGCCCTTTGTTCCTCACTGGCTATTTTTCAATACCTCTCAATACAATAAAACGTTAATGCCATTTTCTTACACGAATTGTACGCATATGAACACTTGTGGTACAGAGGTAACGCGCGTAACTCACTAATATGTCAATGGTTCGAGCCTCGGCCAGGACACACGTGAGAAGGGTGTCATCCAGTGTGACACTACCAAATATCACAGGTTCCCGGTCCCCAGTTTCCTCCTGTACTAACACCGGATAGACCAACCGCCCGAGTAGTTAGTAAGCTGATAAGTGGTGAAAATTATACATAAAAAAATGAGTTTGACGAAAGAGGCAGCATGAGGTAGTACTGTGCATGTTTACATTTGTGGAACGTATTCTTTACATACATTTTTCAAGATGGAACAATAATTAGTAAGCACAATACAGAACTTTTATACTGCTGTGTTACTGACAAACATCGTGAAACTACTTGGGTTGAATTCGGTTCCTGGGGTTTTGAATCCTAATTCGAAGCTGTTTCGCCACAAACGCAACAACAGTCATTTTCTCGAGGTCGACGCGGTGTAGAGGAGAAGCCGACAGCTGTTGGTCCTGTACAGACCGACTGGAGCAGCTGGACCCGAGGCAGAGACAGCCGGATTACTCGCTGTGCAGGGGAGCCTCGCCGTCACCACTACACGTACCGGGAGCAGACAGTGACGATACATACAGTGTGGTGCAGATAAGGCTGTCGATCTAAAAGTGGTCGGAATAGCTGTTTTGGAGGAGTGCTTGTTTTCGAGAGCCTGGTGGAAGGGCCTGACGACTGCCCGAGAGGAGTATTGAGTCTAAAGGTGTCGAGTGAAGAACAACTACTCAAGGTGACGTGGCCGACTGGCCGTGCTGGGTCGTGGTTGGTGTAACTTTAACTCAAGATTTGGTTTTACCTCTTGTTTTGTTTCTTTTAAATGGTGTACAAAGTTTATTAGTGTTTTATGTTCATGCTGGGTGAAGTGTCCTATCACAACCTTGGCTTGGAGTCTGCTCAACTATGGCTATATAAACCGTTCCACCAGAACCTTCGTGTGAACCCTGATTGCAATACCAACCTGCAGTCCAACATTAATTCACACACAACCTTAACACAGTTGTTTACACCAGAATAATCAATAAACAAGAAAGACTAAAATACACTTCTGGGACCTAAGTACACCGCAAATTGTACTCGAGTATTGGACAACAACCCGTAAGTATGAAGTAATACATAATCACACTGTACACTACATTTAGTACCTAGGTTAAGGTGCCAAAATCAGCGTACAACAATGATCACGAGTTAGAATAAAAATACTCCTGTAGGGTAAACAGTACACAACACTGTAGTGAACATCATCTAAGTTTTCAGTAGTTTATGGTGCGATAGTAAGTACGGATGATATTTGTAAGTATATAAGTACACTTTTAATGCCTTAAATTATACCATAAATAGTATATTAATATGAAATATGGAACGGCACAGCATATATAAGTGTGTAAGTATACTTTTGAGGCCTTTAAATATACCATCAACACAGGTGCGACAGCCAGTAATTATGAGATTTATAAGTTTAAATAAGTACACTTGTAAGGCCTTTAGTAGCCACAGTGTGTTAGCTCCAAGTGAACGAAGAATTGTCTCATTATTTCCAGTGCCATTTATAAAAGCCTTTGAGAGAGCTACGTTTTGGTGTTGACCGATCCATAACCACGAAGCATGTTTTCAATAACACCATTAGCCTCAATCACTCCTGCTGTGGCCTTTACCTCCCCCCTCACCCCTCACCCCTCCCCCCTCCCCTCACCTCCCTCGTAAATATTCCCACGGTTAATATCACTCCAAATATATTAGATTATATTTGATATTAAGAACTTGTAATGGACTGTACCTTAAAGGGTTAGAGAGTACAATATAACATGTTAATAGGAGTTAGGGCTGTATTACTGTGTGTTGATAGTAGTGGCGACCAGGAGTGTAGAGGCTTTGTTTATATACGTATTTATACATATTACACATATATATACATTTAAATACAATTATGTATATTATAGTTTCTCTGTTACCTGTATAAAATTGTAGTGTCCAGATGATAACTATAATTTTTGTTTTTATTTTATTCCTCCTCTTCCTCCTCCTTGTCTTCCTCCTCCACCTTCTCTTCTTCTACCACCTCCTCTTCTTCTACCTCCTCCTCCTCTTCTTTCTACCTCCCTCCTCCCTCTCTTTCACCCCCTCCTCCTTTCTTTCTTTCTACCCTCCTCCTCTTCTTTCTTCTGCCTCCCTCCTCCTCCTCTTTTTTTCTTCTTCTCCTCCTCCCTCCCTCCTCCTCCCTTTCCCTTCTACCTCCTCCTCCTCCTCTTCTTCTACCTCCAACTCCACTTCTTCTTCTTCCTCCAACTCTTATTTTACCTCCCCCCCTCTTCTTCTACGTCCTCCTCCTCTTCTACCTCCTCCTCTTCCACCTCTTCTTCTTCTACGTCCTCCTCCTCTTCCTCTCTTCCTTTGTTTACATTCTCACATCTTCGTTTTAACATCTTAAGAAATTATTGAGTTTTTACCAATATCGAGTTTTTAATTTTTGACCTTTTAATTTTAATCTAAATTTAACTTTCTATTCTTTATCTTTATCTTATTTTCTCCCTTCTCTCTGTTTATCACCTATCAATGTGTAGCAGAATATTAACAGATTGGTATAAATTTTACATATTTATATTTTTACATTTTTATACACCCATATATATACACTCACTATACAATGTGAAATCATGAACGAAATAAAACACACACACACACACACACACACATACACACACACACACACACACACACACACACTACAAGGCTTGATACGTACATTTCATCGCTCAACATCTGCTACATAATAGAGTATTCATCATTTTTTACTTACTCCATTTTACACTCCATTTAGTTCAAGAAATCCAGCGTCCAGTACAAAGTTATTTATACAGCTGCTAACTTGTTTACTGCATTCGTATTTTCGATTGAATTAAAGTGCAATTTGGTGCTGACTAAAAATTCTATGCATATTTGATGGTAAATGGCCTTTGTTAACGGTGAATTTAATGTTAGTTTATTTATTGCACCTGATTTATATTATATTATGTCATTATTTTTTTTTCACGATTTCTATTCAAGTCAGGACAGTTCATCGGAGGTTCGATCCATGGGTGGGGTGAGACTTAGAGCCATTTATCTCTACTTTACCCCATGTAGTAATATAAATGAATGGTTTAATGATTTGCCAGTGCAGTTTGGTGAGCTGTCCGATCTTCCTGGGCTCCCTCCTCCCATAGCCATACTCAGAGAGGGAAGGAAGGGTTATTGTTTTTACATGTATTGTATCAAACAGACAGATGAGGAGATAGATATATGAGGTGTTATTATTATTATTATTATTATTATCATCATCATTGTAGTAGAATAATTTAAACAAAATTATAACACCAAATAAAATAATAAAAACATCCAAGATATTTTTTAACCATTTAAAGCAGAGGGCATTAAAATCCCGACCACACATACCACAGTTTAAGACTCCGGAGAGAAATAAAAACGAGGGAGTCTCAGTTCCTATATATAAAACCTTCCGTCAATGGCTTTCTATTTAGTGAATTGATTCTCCATTTTGGGAAGTATTTTTCATCAATTGGATTAATACTTTCGTCAATGGCCACTTAGCTGTACAAAGACTCGACCCTGTTAAAAGTGGTCATTATATATGCGACCTGGGGAATGGTTAGCATGCGTGTGTGTTAGTTCTTTTTACCTAGGAGAGATGTAGGAAGTGTGGGACGGGGGTAGTGGATAAGAAAGAAGGAGGAGTAGAGAGGAAGGGAGGTTAAGAGAGAGAGAAAGAGAGGTAAATCATTTGTAAACAAATTTTTCCTTCATTATAGTGTGTATACGTTTATCATTATAGTGTGTATACGTTTAGTCAGTGATTAACTCTCTCTCTTGACAGTCACAGCCCCCAGGTTAGTTTAGATTTCACCATCACCCTTCACCCCACGTACTGACACACACACACACACACACACACACACACACACACACATACTACTACTACTACTACTTTGCTGTCACTCGGAATCGAGTATGACGATCATCCAGCTATGATACAATGATATGAGTGATTAGGGATGTCACTTAGGTTAGTGAGTTTTGAGGAGACTAAAGAGGCCGATACGGGGCCCGCAGCGTCGTTCACATTCGATGCACATGTGGAGGGCTCCATCTACTGCGGGAGGGGCGGTGGCAGTGTCTTTCCGGGGTTGGCGCTTGTCTGAATCGGTTTGCAGTCGGGCTAACTCGAAAGTATTGACACCTTCTCGTGTGGTGCTCCTCCAAGCGTAACGGTGTGGAGTGATCGACTCCCAGGTGAGGGGATCGATTTGGAACCTTTTCAATTGCCCGCCGAATATACGTTTACAATTCGTTAGGTGACTGTAAAGTAGCTGCTTTGGCAGTCTACTGTCGCCCATGCGGGTAACATGGCCAGTCCAACGTAGTTGTTCATGGATAATGGTAGCCTCGATGTTCCTACAGTTGGTGTCAGAAAGAATAATGGCATTTGTTCTCTTTTTCTTCCAGGTGAACTCGGAGGATGGAACGTAGACTACGTTGGTGAAAGTTTTCAAGTGCCTTGAGGTGCCTCCTGTATGTGACCTATGTCTCGCTGCCATATAGCAGGGTGGGGAAACGATTTCGGAGTCTGGCAAAGGCTTGAGATGCACATCTGAACCGATGCTGAATCTCTTCACCTATGTCTGAGGTGGTGGACAAGTGGGATCCGAGACACCGAAAGTGGGCAACATGAGAGGGTAGTAGGTTTAAGCTGGATGGATGGTGGAGGTGTGTCTGAACCAGGGGCAGGTTGAAAGAGAATCTGAGTCTTACGTAAATTCACCTCAAGGCTGAAGTGTGCATACGCGTCAGCTTAGCCCAGTCCACATGTGGGGTGAGCAGAGTGGCTCCCCGAAAGGGCTGCTCAGTGGCACAGATAGGACCGGATTGCACTGTTGTGTCGATCCCAGTGCATAAACGACCATCTTATCTGTGCCGCCCATGTGCAGAGTTGTGACTAGAGACCCCCGGCAGTCATCTCTTCCTGTCCCCGTTTTGGGGGGTATAGGGGGTTTGATGATAATGAGAGGTATGATGAGCTGGGTAATGGCTGCGTGTGAGTTGATTTATGTGTTGAGGCAGGAGCGTAGGCTGCAACCACACATCTTGGCTCCCCCTTTTCCTGATCCAGTGGTGCAAGTGTTGCAACGACTGGGGAGAGGAAGAGTTGGAATGGATTGCCTATAGCCCAGTTTGTTGGGTTTCGTCTTAGTAGCCTGTCCATCAGGCAATGCCTTCGTCCGCCGGTGTAGTCGTTGGGTTTCCATGGTGGTCACCTCTTCTGCGTACACCGTCTTTGGGGTCTTGTTAGAGCTCTGTAAGCATGTCTGCCTGATGCGGGGCTCCACCTCAGATTTTTTTGTTCGGGATTTACTTCCGTAGCCTTATACCTGCCAAGGTTAATCCGCAGGGCAGCGGGGCGGTGGTTGTTAGGCGCCAGGACGTGTCCACATGCCGGTGGGCCTAGGCGCCGTCCCTCTTGGGCCCACTGCTACTCCGAGATCCCCTGCTGGTCTAGCGTAGGCCCACTAGGCACCCAGTTACCATGTGTTGCCACGAGGAGGCACAGCAGGAGTCTTGATGGTGAGGAGGCTGTGTACTGGCAAGGGAAGACTTATGCCAGTTGCTTCCCTGTTCGCCACGAGGGCTAGACAGCACACACACACACACACACACACACACACACACACTGATCTTATCTCTCGTACACCTCAATAAAAATTCAGTACATGGAGATAGTGACATGTTTTGTATGGGTCTGTAGGTGAACGCCAGTGCTGAAGGGAGACGGGAGAACGTTTGCCTCGAGTTATTGTTTAAGTATTAGTGGTTTTGTTTACGCCTGGTGACGTTGACTTCAGATATACTTTATTCCTTCATTGTTTTTTACTGTATTGTTTTAATTTTTACTAATCACTCCTTACCTGCCTTCTATACTGTCCTCCCTAGTCTTTTTTTTAATTACCTTCTTTTATCACCTGTTGCTGTGCCACTTTAATCAATTAGCGATGAAAGATGACGTTGACTGATCTAGAAATATAAGTTTGGGTGAAAAATTATTAATTGGTTTGTCTCGCTTGGGTAAAGTAGTTTATATTGTTATTCATTTATTTATCATGTTATTGAAGATAGAATGTTGGAATAACATTAAAAACAAGAATCATCCTCCAGTTTATTTCACCTGAAGATTAAACATCAAACGCTATCTAGGGGGTTAGGTTAGGTTAGGTTAGGTTAGGTTAGGTTAGGTTAGGTTAGGTTAGGTTAGGTTAAGTTAAGTTGGGTTAGGTTAGGTTAGGTTTATGTCGAAATTATTGATGGAATTTCAACTGATGAAGTGGCATGATTGCAGACGGTGCTTGGATATTTTCAGTTTATTCACAGTACTGAACATATTTCTATCCAGATTGATGATGAAATTGATGGTAAGATGACTTGCCAAACTTATCAAAAATTGTCTTGAGATCACGTCGTCAATGTAGTGTGGAGAGGTTCAAACGCCCTGGCCTCGTGTTATCAGTAGCGGTACCATCGAACATCCCCTACCCCCCTTCACTATCTCTCCGGTCTTGGTGTTATCAGGTGACTTGACTGACCAACAGGTGATAACTCTCAGCTGATCATCAAAACAAAGAGTTGCCATTTCATTCATTAAATCCCTATTCCATTCATTCCTCCTATTTACAAGTTACATATTAAACAATTCTCCTTAACCAAAAACATTAAATCTCAATCCAGTTTCTGTCTTAGAGAACCGTAATTGGCTTTGATAAATAGGTGATGTTTTATCCCAAGAGGGAAAATACAGTAATTGGTACCTGTTGTATGCTAGAGTAGGTCACTTATAGCAAAAGTAAAGAGGGTAGTTATTGTAGTGGTGAGGTTAGTTGTGGTTACTCATTGTGGTAGCTCTTTGTGAATGGTTTATAGTGATCTTTCAACCATGATGGAACGACGGTGGTTGTGGTGGTGTGTGGTGGTTGTGGTAGGAATGGTTGGTGGTGCCCGGGGTGCTCTGGATATTGAAGGTAAGTACACAGTGTTAATGACCAGGTAGAAGTGAAGTGTGTGTGTGTGTATGTGTGTGTATGTGTATGTGTGTGTATGTGTATGTGTATTGTGTGAGTCATTGTGGTTGGGAGTTTGTACGCGCATGTGTGTATACGAATGTGTGTATGACTATGTGTACATGTGTGTGTGTATGTGTAAATATGTGTATATGTGAAGCTGCAGTTATATATACGTGTGTGTGTCCCTCTTAACTAAGCTACTTCCCTACACATATACAATCATACTCGTTCAAAGAAGATACATTTGCGTGCACATTTGCTAATATGCACGCGCGTGTACATGCATACGTGATCAAATATATATAAAATTCACGCCAGTACAAACTTACATATTCATATATTTCACTACTAAGGCATATTAGTGTACGTCCATGCGTGTTCGTATGTAAATTAGTAAGTGTCGTCTTCCTGGTTCTCTATTGTTAACTGTTTTATTCCTTCTCAATTACCCGGTCCTGTCATCCATGGAGTACTTACACCTGTAATAGCCTTTCATTTAAGTATCATTTCAAAGGCACAAAGATAAGTTCGAGTGTTGTCATACATACAATTTAGAACGGTTTTTCTCTTTACTTCAATGGCTAACAAAACGATAATTGAAGTAAAAGGACTATTTAAATTTTTCGTCCTTAGATAAAAGATACACATTAGGTTGAACTTACGTAACAAGAATTTTAATCTAGAACGTTTAGATGACCGTTCTGGTTAACAACATTGACTTTGAATGTGTAAAGAAATATATATGTAAAAATTTCGTTAATTTTTTATTAAATCAGAATTGCATTTATTTTCACGTTGCATTAATTTCCACTTAAAAAAAATTACGCTAATCTCTAAGTTAAGCCACTCAGAAAACGGAAATTTGGACAGCAACACTGTGTTGTGAGTTATTTTGAGAGTATTTGTACACACAGGGACAGAGAGCTAAAAGGACTCCTGGACTGGTTAGAAGCTGTTGCCCCCAACACACACACATTGCTTACCTTCCCACGTGTGTCTGATACAGAGTTAAGTATAGTGTTTATGAAGAGTCTTGTTTATATCGAGGTTAAGGCCAACCTCTATGATACAGTCACCATGTAGGAATGGCTGTACCTGTACTTTATCCCTGTATCTGTTGTTGTATTCAGGTTAAAGCCTCATATTTATACTACAATCATTACATGGCAAATACTGTACCTGTAATACATACCTGTATCTACATTTGTATTCATATCTCTGAAGTTAATTCACCTTAATGATACAGTCACCATATGGGAATTACTGAATTACTGTAACTGTATTGTATGCCTGTATTCTGTCTGAAGCTGTTGTTCTTACCCTTAATACTCTCCCCACAGCCTGGAAAGGGGAGGAGCCGCTCACCCCGGAGAGAATAGTCAGGGAGGTGGTGGAGTACTTCTCTCAGCGCGACCCTCACGGCATCCCAGGTGAGTCCTAGCTCAGGTGAATCCTCGCTCAGGTGACTCTATCTATCTATCTATCTATCTATCTATCTATCTATCTCTCTCTATATCTATCCTAAAAGCTGTCTCAAAAATGTATACACAATGTTTTATAGATTTTTTCTATTACATCACATTAATATTTACAGTATGCTACAACATTAACATCGTCTTCATTACTAGAGGACAATGTTGTTCTAGTCTACTTACATTTTATTGAGACGTCTCTAATATTTTTTCACCTCGTAGTCAGTTAGCGTAATGAACCCTGTTGAGTCACTTTAATGTGTATAGGAAGTTTATAAGAAGATTTGTGAGGTAGTGTGGATGATTTGTGAGTCAGTGTGGATGATTTGTGAGGCAGTGTGGATGATTTGTGAGGCAGTGTGGATGATTTGTGAGTCAGTGTGGATGATTTGTGAGGCAGTGTGGATGATTTGTGAGTCAGTGTGGATGATTTGTGAGGCAGTGTGGATGATTTGTGAGTCAGTGTGGATGATTTGTGAGGCAGTGTGGATGATTTGTGAGGCAGTGTGGATGATTTGTGAGTCAGTGTGGATGATTTGTGAGGCAGTGTGGATGATCAGTGTGATGAATGTTGCGCTCATATCTTTTTCTCTCTCCTCTACCCCCCCCCACACGCACACCTACTACTACTACTACTACTTTTCTGTCACCTGTAATCAAGTATGATGAGCATTCAGCTAGGATACAATGATATGAGTTGTTAAGGATGGTGAGCTCTGAGGTGACTCGGAGCCATCTAGATATGTTGCGCGTGTGGAGGGTTAAATCTAGTGCGGGAGGGGCTGCGGCAGCGTCTTTCCGGCGCTGTCGCTTGTCTGCCTCGGTATGCAGTTGGGCTAATTCAAAATTATTGGCACTTTCTCGTGTGGTGTTCCTCCAAGCGTTATGGAGTGGACTAATCGTCTCCCAGGTGAGGGGGTCGATTTGGCACTTTTTTATGTTTGTCTTAAGATTATCCTTATACCTTTTCCGTTGTCTGCCAGCGTTATGTTTACCATTCGTTAAGGGACTGTAAAGTAGCTGCTTTGGCTGTCTATTGTCGTCCATGCGGGTAACATAGCCAATCCAACGTAGTTGCTCCTACAGTTGGTGTTAGCAAAAATACTAGTATTTGTTCTCTTGTCTCCCAGCGAACTCGGAGGAAGGAATGTAGACTACGTTGATGAAAGTTTTCAAGTGCCTTAACGTTCCTCCTGTATGTGACCCATGTCTCACTATACCATACAGCAGAGTGGGGAGGACCACTGCTCGATACACGTGCAGCTCCCTACAGCTGAAGACACGGGTACAGAGTCTGCCAAAGGCTTGAGATGCAAAACTGATCCGATGTTGAATCTCTTCATCGATGTCCTCGGTGGTGGACAGGTGAGCCAAGGTACTGGAAGTGGGTAACATTAGAGAGGGTAGTACCATTAAGCTAAATTGATGGTGGAAGTGTGGTTGAATGAGGGGCAGGCTGAAAAAGAATCTGAGTCTTACGTGCATTTACCTCAAGGCCGAAGTGTGCATACGCATCTGCGTAGGTGTTCAGGATCTCCTGTAGGTTGCGTTCAGTGTGAGCGACGAGGGTGAGGTCGTCTGTATACTGAAGTTCAGTGATGAAAGCTGCCGACACCTTTGTTCCTGACTGGAGTCGTCTTACGTTGAAAGTTCCGTCATCCGGTACTGGATGTCCACCTCGCCGGCTAAATTGGCACTGGCACAAGTAAGGAAGGCAGCCAAGAAAATGGAAAAGATAGTTGGTTACAGTATACTCCCTTGTTTTATTCCCATTTGGATGGGGAAGAACTCAAACTGGGTGCCATTGTGTAGGACACAATGGCAGAGGGATTCCCTGTTGACCGAGTCGAAGGCAGTAGTTAGGTCAATGAAGGCCATGTACAAGTCACGACGCAATTTTCTGCACTTTTTCTGCATCTGGCGAGCAGCAAAGTTTATGTCAGTGGTGCCACGTGATGGTCTAATGCCACATTGAGATTCTGGGAGGAACTTTTCCGCCTCAGGAAGAAGTCTGTTTACTTTAGAAGGTCTCAAGCAATAATCTTGCCAGTTACGGACAGCAGTGAGATCCCGCGGTAGTTGCCACAGTATGACCGGTCTCCCTTGTTCTTATAAATATTGACTATCTAAGAGTCTTTAAGATGTTGGGGGATTTCCTCCTTCTCCCATTATAATTATCCAGGAAAGAGTGGAGACGGCTAGTAACCAGAGGTCCTCCTGCTTTATACACCGAGGCTGGGATTCCAGTAGCCAGTGTGTCTTTGTTATTTTTCATCTACTTGATGGCAGTACCTACCTCATCCAGGAATGGAGGATAGCTGAGGTGGGTCAGCTCTGGGTGTTGAGGAACCTGCTGGGTAGTCAGGATATCCACATCGGTGTTTCGGTTGAGCAGCGAATGGTAGTGCTCTTTTCAGTGCTGGCAGATGCCTTCTTCGTCTTTAATTAGGAATTCCCATCGGATGAGCGGAGGGGTTTCCACGCCATGAGTAGATTATGCTTCTTGTGATGATCTGCAATTTTTTGCATTTCAGTCTCACAGACAGGACCGAATTGCACTGATGCTTAGATACCAGTGCATAAAAAACCCATCTTATCTGTGCCGACCATGTGCAGAGTTTTGACTAGAGACTCCTGGCAGTCATCTCTGCCTGTCCCCGTCGCCATTCGTCTGTCGCCATAAGACTTTTGGGGCTCTAGGTGTGTTGATGATAATGAGAAGTATGATGAGCTGGATGATGGCTGCACGTGAGTCGATTTATGTGGTGAGGCAGGAGCGCAGGCTACAACCACACATCTTGGCTCTCCCTTTTCCTGATCCAGTGGTGCAAGTGTTACAAAGACTGAGGAGAGGGAGAGTTGCAATGGACTGCCGATAGCCCAGTTTGTTGGGTTTCGCTTTATTTAAAGTAGCCTGTCCATCTTGCATTCCCTTCATCTGCCGGTGTAGTCGTTGGGTCCCCATGGTGGTCACCTCTTCCGCCTATACCGCCGTTGGGGTCTTACTGGAGCTGTGTAAGCTTGTTTGCCTGATGCAGGGTTAGCCCGCAGTTTTTTCGTTTGCGGTTTACTTCCGTATTCTTATACCTACCAAGGTTAATTCGCAAGGCAGCGAGGCATGGTAGGCGCCAGGACGTGTCCACGTGCGATTGAGCCTATGCGCCTTCCCTCTAGGGCCCACTATTGCTCCGAAATCCCCTGCTGGTCTAGCCTGGGCCCACGAGGCACCCAGTTACCGTGTGTTGTCACGAGGAGGCACAGAAGAAGTCATGATGGTGAAGAGGCTGTGTGCTGGTAGGGGAAGACTTACGTAGGGTTGCCTCCCTGTTTACCACATGTTCGAGCCATCAGCGGTAGCTGAAAGCGAGAGGAATCAGGCAGTGTCTGCATCTTAACACTAAAATAATGCTGTCACACTAGACGCATTGCACACACACACACACACACACACACACACTACATCCTTGACCACCGAAGGGTCAAGACGTACCAGGCGCTCCTCTCGGAGCAGCCAGGTCAACTGTTAAGTTGGCCCATACCAACCCCCTCCCCTGAACCCTCCTCCCCACCGGAATATCAACAAGTTTTCGCCAGAAGTTACAATTTCATTTAGGAAAGGAACGGAACCAGTGTTAAACAGAGGTGAACAGTGGTGAACAGTGCTTAAGTCAGTGAGAACAACTCAACAGTAACAGTCGTACCCAAGTTAACCTTCACACAGTGAGGTCCCAGGTACCCAGTGATAACGGCCCGTGAGACCCAACAACAACCAGCGATGTGTTAATCCGTCTACGATAGGAAGGCCTGGGACCAAACCTCACTCATATAACACCATCTGTGAGGGAATTACTGCACCACATGTCCCTCATAACACCATATGTGAGGGAATTACTACACCACGTCAAGTCCCTCATCACACCATCTGTGAGGGAATTACTACACCACGTCAAGTCCCTCATCATACCATCTGTGAGGGAATTACTACACCACGTCAGGTCCCTCATAACACCATCTGTGAGGGAATTACTACACCACGTTAGGCCCCTCATAAAACCATATGTGAGGGAATTACTACACCACGTCAAGTCCCTCATCACACCATCTGTGAGGGAATTACTACACCACGTCAGGTCCCTCATAACACCATCTGTGAGGGAATTACTACACCACGTGAGGCCCCTCATAACACCATCTTTGAGGTAATTACTACACCACGTGAGGTCCCTCATAACACCATCTGTGAGGGAATTACTACACCACGTGAGGCCCCTCATAACACCATCTGCGAGGGAATTACTACACCACGCCAAGTCCCTCATAACACCATCTGAGGGAACTACTACACCACGTGAGTTCCTCCTAACACCATCTGGGAGGTAGTTACTACACTACGAGTTTGCTGTTCAACACCTACATTAATCTGTATGTTCACTGTATGTTCCTTTACCTTTCTCTAATGAAGGCTTTTGTTAAACCACCAATGTATGTAATATGTCATTTATGTCCAATGTATATTTTCAGCCTTCGGGCTGCAGAACTTTTTCAATAAACCGTTAATTATTATTATTATTATTATTATTATTATTATTATTATTATTATTATTATTATTATTATTACACACACACACTTACTTCTATAACCTTTTCTCCCGCACAGTGCTCAAGGTGCCTGAATCTATAGAACTGCCTGACCGAGTAAGCGCCTCTCAGATCACCCTCTGGGACCTCAAGATCTCAGGGCACTCCGGCCTCAGACTCGAGCATGTCAACGTCAACCTCACCTCCTTTTCGGTAGGTCCTCCTCGGCCTTCTCAGTAAGTTCTCCTTCAACTCCATCACTTCCTCACTATCGGTCCTCCTTAATTAATGCCTTTTTCTCAGTGAGTCATCCTCCACTTCCTTCTTGATAAGTCATCCTCCACTTCTTTCTTGATACGTCACCCTTCACCTCCTTCTAGCTAAGTCATCCTCCACCTCCGACTTGATAATTCATCCTCCACCTCCTTCTTGATAAGTCATCCTTCACCTCCTTCTAGATAAGTCATCCTCCACCTCCTTCTTGATATTTCATCCTCCACCTCCTTCTTGATAAGTCATCCTTCACCTCCTTCTAGCTAAGTCATCCTCCACCTCCTCCTAGATAAGTCATCCTCCACCTCTTTCTTGATAAGTCATCCTCCACCTCTTTCTTGATAAGTCATCCTTCACCTCCTTCTAGATAAGTCATCCTCCACCTCCTGAATACTTCCTCCTTCTAGATAGGTTCTCTTTCCCTCCTTCTTATAGCTCACCCTCACCTTCTTGACAGCTTCTCCTCCTCGAAACTTTCCAGGCAGGTCCCCCTTTACCGCCTCCATCTTTCTTAACTTTGTAATGTTCAAATTTTATGGAACTCCTGAGACCCGGAGACCCTGTTAGTGTGTTCTACTCTACAAACACACACACACACACACACACTGCTTCTTTTGGCCAATGAGAAATCCTGATTTTTACTTGGACAATATACGTAGTGATTCTATTGGCAAATAAACAGTCCTGATTTTTCACCAAACAGTACGCACACTAATTCTTTTAGCCAATAAGAACTCATAGTTTTTACCCAAGTGATTATTCAAAGCGATTCTATTGGCCTATATATTATTTTGTTTTTTATCCAATTAAAATCATGTACAATGATTTTTTCCAGGTAACAATTATTTAAAAAAAAAAAAAGGAAAATATATCCTGACCAACAAGAGAAATCCAACGTGTTTTATCTTCACTGTCCTCCAATTCTTGCAATATTTCCTTCTTTATTTGCCTCCTCTCTGAAACATGCAACACATTTGCAAGCTGTCAGGCGGCTGGAACTGTCCCCTTGCAACATTATATCCCAACTTATAAAGAAAACTTCACCATTTGCAACAACACTGGAGTAGGGAGGAGGAGGAGGAGGAGGAGGAGGAGGAGGAGGAGGAGGAGGAGGAGGAGGAGGAGGAGGAGGAGGAGGAGGAGGAGGAGGAGGAGGAGGTAAGCGTTCCTCTATGGCCTGCATAATCATGTGTTAGTTCGTGGTGGTGGTGGAGGGGGAGGTGGGGGAGATTATAATTTGGCTATTTACAGTAGTGAGATGCTAGTGTGTTTTAAAGAGCTATTTTTTATCCTTAGTTCTATTCGAGGCTACTTTATCTCGGAGCTAGTTAAGAGGGTGGTGTTTTGTAAGGAGCTAGTGCTAGTTTGTTTAAAGGCTAGTCATCTTATCTTTCGCTTGTTAGTTGAGGTCAGTGTTATATGGGGCTAACTTTAACACCTCTCTCCTGCAGGCGACGCTGTAGGAGGCATTAAGAATCATCAGAGTCTTACCTATTAAAAAACTTAACACTTGTAACACACTCTCTCTCTCTCTCTCTCTCTCTCCCTCTCTCTCTCTCTCTCTCTCTCTCTCTCTCTCTCTCTCTCTCTCTCTCTCTCTCTCTCTCTCTCTCTCTCTCTCTCTCTCTCTAGACAGGTTCCATTATCAGTAAAACAGGAACCCCCGAGGATTTTCTTGACAAAGTCTGCAAACCTACTAATATAAAGGATTAGAATGTGCTGAAACCATTTTTTTAATTTGACAAGCTTATTTGCGCCCCAGTTTCCCATGACATCCAACAGAAAAATATGACTGACATGAAGACTGAAAATTAAATATTTCGATACTCTGAAAGCAAAAAAAAAAAATAGCTGTGACACTCAATTGGTTTTTTGTTTGTAAACAAGCTCGATCAGATCTTGGTAGCTGCAGGTATGATCGCAGGCCATGTGGAGGAACCTTGTTCCAAAGCTGCTTGAACTCGTCAAGGACAAAAATCATGGTCTGCATCACGAGATACAAGAAAAGATGTCCAGCAATGACACAGATGGTCTGGTTGCCTTGTTGACAAACAGGGAGTTCAAAGATACTGTGGATGTATTCACAACAAGAAGTAGCAATCCAAACTTAAAGTACTGTGGAGTTACATGCAGATGATACGAGTCCTCCTCCTCTTCACCAGAACACAGGGAGATGGTCTTTGGGAACTGCATCTGCACGCCTTCCAGTTAATGCTTCCTTTCTTCATGAGGTATAACCACATAACTATGCCCACTGAATGGGAGGCAGTGCATATCAGTGAGATGCAACAGCTTCCTGATGATGTGAAGGCTGAGTTTGATAAATGGAACTTTGTAGTGAAGCGGTCAAACCAGTAGTTTAATCAAGTGGATCCTGATCAAAGCCAGGAATGGCTGAACGGCACTGGGAAGAAAGGTGATGGCATCATCGGCATCACCAATCAACATCAGCCTTGAGCAGATGGGCCCTCTCTTACAACCAAATATGTGTATGGAATATGGTCATAATATGAAGCCTTCACACACAATGAATGCAACCAAGCCAGACAGAAACATGACTTAAAAGATGAAGATAACCTATTGACAACATTGCAGGCCTTCAAACTATTCTCAGTGGATGCATCTCCAAACTTGCAAAACATTGCCACAGAGGATATTGTTACAAAGAAAATTGAAGAAGACCTCCTGATGGCTCATCAGAAAGGACAAGAGCAGCTGATCACATTTGTTGAAGAAAGACTTATGCCTTGCAGTGACAACAGGTGAAGTTCAGTAAAACCTTACCCAGGAACAAACCTCTGACCTTTTATTCTCTCTATGAAGTGTAACAAAAGAAATCCACAACTATCCCACAGAAAGTTACCAAAACAGATAGAAAACTCCTTCAACGTCTGATCACTGCCTCCCAGTCAGGAAGAAATGTCATTCTTGAAGATATACTGAAGCATGAGCTCATGCCCATCTCTCCAGCCATTGCAGAAATGAATGGTGATCGCCGGTCAGGTTCAAAGACGCATCTGTCATAGGTAATGATTGGCAAAACACCTTGCCCGCCAAGCCTGCAAGTAACAGACCTTAGTGAAGAAGCAATGCTCATCATTAATGGTCAGGCTCTTGTGGTAGCTGTTGGGGAACGACAGAACGCCAGAACATTTGGGGATTTGGCAGATGTATTCGCTGCAGCTGTTTTGAAGAGTGGAGTATCATTCAGTCTCATAGACGTTATCTTTGACACGTATTATGAAACTTCACTCAAAAGTGGAACCAGAAAAATACGGGGTAAAGGAGCGGTACCAGTGGGAAGAGAGGTGCAGAATAGGGATCTGCCTCTTCCACCAAAATGGGAGAGTTTTATTGCCCTTGCAGCATTCTTGTCCCGTCAGCTGATTCTGCTAGCACCAAGCAACAAGACTATTGTAGTATCTGGTGGGTTTAGAATCAGGAGCAGGTGGAGTCCTCAATCCCTGACATTGTCACAGAAGATCTGGAAGCCCGTCATGAAGAGGCTGACACTCGAATAATTTTACATTGCATGAGAAGCCTAGCATCAAGCATTGTTGTTGCTGCTCAAGACACTGGCGTCTTGGTCCTCCTCCTAGCACATTTCAGCAAGATACCGTGCTCGAAAGTATGGATGAAGTCCGGGACATCCAAGAATAGAAAATACATCCCAATCCACACCATTACAGCTCAACTTGATATTAGTATGTTGAGCGCACTGCCTACATTTCATGGTTTGGCAGGCTCTGCCACTACATCTTTTTTGCCTGATCACACCAAAAGTCCTGTTGGAATGTCTTCAAGGAGCATCAGAATTTCTTGCAATTACTTGGTAAAGGTGAGCTCTGTGAGAAAGCAGTCCACGATGCCGAAGAGTTCATTTGCAGAGTCTACAAGTGTGATGCAGCTACATTAGTAGACAGGGCTCGCTTCATTCTTATTGGTCGAGCTCAAGCCTTAGAAACCCTCCCACTAACAGGTGTGCACACTACTAGGCAGCAAGCTGACATGCTGCCCCTTCTTGAGACGATGGGATGGGATTAATTAGATGATGGCTCACTTGTCCCTGTTCTCAGGTCTCTGCCTTCAGTGTCAGACTCCTACATGGAGCTCATCAGCTGCAAATGCACCAAACAGTGCACAAGTGTTCATTGTAAATGTAAGAAGTCAAAGCTGGTGTGTGCTGCTGCATGTAACTGCAGCACAGCTGACGAACTCTGCAGCAACATTTGAAAGACAATGAAATTCTGATCTAATATTGATGCTACTTTTCACATTCATTATATTATTCTATATTGCCTCAGTTTCATTCTCATTTCATATCGTTTATTATATTATCAGTTTCTAGATAAATGTATAGAAATAGTGAAAGATGCCTCCACAGAATGTAATTTTTTTGTTACATATAAGAACATAAGAAGATACAATAGGCCGGTTGGCCTGTGCACGGCAGCTCCTGTCGAGAGTTACTACCACTCTCTATCATCCATGAATCTATCTAGCCTCCTTTTAAAACTTTCCAGCGTCCCAGCACTTACTACAAAGTCGCTAAGCTTGTTCCACTCGTCCACCACCCTATTTGTGAACCATTTCCTTCCTATCTCCCTCCTAAACCTAAGCTTTTCCAACTTAAATCCGTTGCTACAAGTCCTATCCTGCTCGGATATTATAAGAACTTTATCTATATCTCCTTTATTGATTTCTTTCACCCACTTAAATACTTCTATCATATCTCCCCGCACCCTTCGTCTGTCTAGGAAATGCAAATTTAGTTTCTTTAATCTATCTTGATATGGAAGGTTTCTAAGTCCCGGAATCATTTTCGCCATTCTTCGCATGATTCAATTTCAAGCTTACAATCAGAATATGACCCAAACTTTCAATTGACACAGAGAACAGTTTATTATGAAGCTATTG